CAAAACAAGCCTCAGAAACACGATTTCTAGCCTTTTGTTTCATTAAATTATTTGTGTGAAGAAGCCAGCTCCAATCTTTTTCACACTCACTGATACAGAGAATGATTTAAGTTGCTTTATCTTTGTTGGACAGTGCTGCAGATATGAAATCCAGCACATTCACTCCATAGACAAGCTTACACTTCCTAGATTAGAGTGACATTGTGACATTGCCGTAATGTTCTTTTCTCCTTTCTCTTTTACAGTGTTATATTGGTTTCAGTTAAGAACTCACATTTGAATCTCTTATTGTGGCTTCAATCTGTTGGCCTGGAAATGAAGATGAAATGCAGTTGTGTGTATACAAATGCTTTGTAATGATGATAAGAAGTGATGTGCACGGAATACAGACTAATACATTAGTATTGTACATTAAGTCTGTCTGGTAACGGAGATGATAGCTATTTGACAGTCTGTTGAGTAACAATAAATGATTTGCAAGCATCACCCTCAATAAAGTGTGGACTCCTTTCTCCTAATGACCCTGATACAAAGAATTGAATACAAAGCTAAAGGAGATTTTTGACAATGACTCTAGGAGCATCACCTACTGTGTGTGTCCAGCTAGAGTCAATGGACAAGGCTGTTGAGACTAGTAAATCAAACATTCCCTTGTTTAGATATTAGGAAGTAGTTCTTTATTGTGAGAGTGCTGAGGCACTGGCACAGGTTGCTCGGAGAAACTGTGTGGCTGCCCCATCCCTGGCAGTGTTCAAGGCCAGGTTGGACACAAGGGCTTGGAGCAACCTGCTCTAGTGGAAGGTGACCCTGCCCATGGCAGGGTTGGAACTGAATGAGCTTTAAGGTACCTTCCAACACAAACCATTTTATGATTCTATGATTTGTCCATTCATGCAGCTTGGGCAGATATTTCCATTCTTCATGCTGATGCCTGGAGTGCTGTGGCACTGCATTGCTTAACCCAAAAGGGGCAGGGATGTGCAGGGCAGGCTTCAGATGCAGTGCTTAAAATCCTGTGAGCTGCCTCACTCATGTCGATCTAATCTACTTGTGCAGAGTTCTTAGTGGCAGCCTATATATTTTATTTACATCAAAGAGAGAAAGTTAACCCAAGCAGCTGATCCCGAAGTAACTGCTGGCTGCTTTCCCTGAGCATGGAAATAGTTGTAAATGCTATGTCAAACCAGTCCAGGCTGCGAATTAAATCAGTGCCCCAAAGGAGGGGTGATTGTGGTGTATATCAAGCTGTGACCAGGAAAAGGCAGTCTTCAAATAGGAACAAGGGAATATACAGCAAAATAACAGAGAAGACCACTTTAAAATCCTCTAATGCATGTAGAGAGGATTGAAAAGGGAGAGGAGTGAGACAGACACCATCCAGGAGGAGGTATGTGTAGATGACAGCAAACACTTCCCTTGCCCTTGCTTTCATCAGTAGAGTAGCTGCTCTGGAAATGATAAGAAGGGAGTTGAAGGAACTCAGAGGACATGGGAGGGGAATTAAAAAGCACACTTATACATGTGAACAAGAGGCCAGATAAAAGCAAACACTGGAATAAAAAACAGAATCCTTGTGTCCAACCCCATCTACCCCTGGGAATAAACTTGTTTCAGACCGTGTGGACTGAGTCTTCATACCAAGTGCTAAATTGTAATAGGTAGACAGAACAAGAGATGACAGCTGTAAAGCTGCCAGTGAAATGAAGAGTGGTTTTTGGTAAACTAACAGAGAAATTCAGTCCAGAGGTTTCAGGTTTACAGACCTGGTTGAATTGTGGTTCACGCTTGACATTCTGCAATACCCATGAACTGGTTGAATGCATCGCTGTATTGTTTTGATCAAGTCAAAGCACTGAGCAAGGATTTTCTATTTCATGCCCCATTTATACATTGCTACATAATGTGGAGTGCCCCAAATGCCTCTTGATTTTCCCTTTGGAAAGGTTTCTTAGAAGCTGGCAGCAAAATAATACTGGGCAGGTCTTTACTGTGGAGCTTCAGGATACATCTATTGCATCTCAGATGTTTTTAGTATAGTAACTTGGGTTCAGAATCTGGCCTGAATGGTCTGGATGCTGATCTCTTGGCTATCTCTGCAGGTTTAAGAAAGAAACCTGTAGCATTCTGGTATTGTGCCAAGCACCTGTAAAAGGAATTCCAGTTCAATTCTGAGTATCAAAAAATATCCTCCCAGTCTTGTCATTTTAATTTTATTCATGTTGAGCAAGTTTTGATTTCATGGCAAAATGATATTTTCTCTCTATTCAGGGGGTGTTGCCTGAGAAAGGAATGCTATGTACTCCAATGGAACAGGAGTTCTCTCGGTAATAAACTGTATGAAACTGGGTGCATCCTACTGGAAACTTCTAATACAGTTTTAGCCTTTTAGGAGAGCAATGTAGAAATTCAGCTTGCTTGTAAAGATGCAAGAGGGTAATATGGAAAACACGCCTACATTTTATACCTATGGGTGTTAATCCTCACTCTGACAATTTGGTTCTGCTTAGCAACTTTAAGATACACTTTACGCAGTGGGACTAAAACCCTAGTGGGTGCCTTCATTTTGTATTTAAAACAGAGTCAACTAAATGAAATCATTTGGAACTATTTCTAACTGATCTTTGCATCGTGTCTCATCCACTAGATATACTGTAGTTTATTTATAGATTTTTTTCTTTTGGGGTTTAAAGCATATTAACATGGCCTTGAATTCTAATTTATAGCATTACCTAAAGATTACCAATCCTATTAACTGCATAGTTACAAATGCCATTTGAGCAATAAGATGTTGTTTTGCTTTCTCTGCATAAAACTGATTTTTGCACAGTTTATTAATTTTGATTTATGTGTTTTACTTTATTATTTATACTGTTCCTATTTTTCTTTTTATGTGGTCTTAATAAAGAGAGCTGCCTATTTATATGATTTTCTTTCTAAGAGAAAAGAGAAAAGAATTTGAGAAAAACACTGGAACATCTGGAGAGAATCGTGGAATAGTTAGGGTTGGAAAGGACCTTAAGATCATCCAGTTCCAACCCCCCTGCCATGCATGGGCAGCCACACCTCACACTAAACCATGTCACCCAAGGCTTCGTCTAACCTGGCCTTGAACACTGCCAGGGATGGTGCATTCACAGCTTCCCTGGGCAGCCCATTCCAGTGCCTCACCACCCTCATGGTTAAGAACTTCCTCCTTATATCCAATCTAAACTTCCCCCGTTTAAGTTCTAACCCATCACCCCTTGTCCTATCACTACAGTCCCTAATGAAGAGTCCCTCCCCAGCATCCCTATAGGCCCCCTTCAGATACTGGAAGGCTGCTCTGAGATCTCCACGCAGCCTTCTCTTCTCCAGGCTGAACAGCCCCAACTTTCTCAGCCTGTCTTCATACAGGAGGTGCTCCAGTCCTCTGAGAGGATGTTTAAACTCTTTGATCATGAGAATTCTGGAGAAAAATGACAAGTATTCAGCCTTGTCTCTTGCAGGAAAGAAATTCTCCACTAGATAAATGTTCATGCAGCTTTAAACCTCTCTGTTACACAGATTGACATGGAAGGTTTTCCTGCCTAGTTGAAATGATAGCTGTGCATTCCTAGAACGTCCCTCCTAAGACGTGTGTAGGCACACAAGTCCTGAAACTATTTGCTGTTTAATGCACACCCACAATAGGATGACTCCTGCAATATAACATTGTATTTTTGGAAAGGAACTATACGCTCTCCTTTTCACATTTAAGTTGTTGAGAGTTTACTGGAAGCAAGATCCAGCCTGCAGTGATGAAAGACCAAAATCTCAAGTTTTGTTTTGATAAGAGTATTATTGTGGAGTAACTTCACACAATCCACCAGTAGCTACAGTGGTGTAATGAAGAGTAGAATTCCTGTTCTCTTTCCATGAATTAATAGAAACATAGTGTACCTCTTCCACAGAGGACCCGCACCGTGCTTGTCCCAGCTGGCACAGCACTGTTGTAAGCAGCAACACTGGTGAGTAGGTACTACATTAATTTCATAATCATTGTTATGTATTGCTTGTAGCAATTCTGAACACGTTCTGAACTTCAAACACAACAGAAATGTGTGTCTGACTTTCCCATTTCCATCACCCTGATGCTGCTGTGTTGAAGACTTTTCCCCTTCTGTTAGGTCAGAGCAAGCCAACAGTTTTCTAACTTGGGAGAGATATATGTTAGCACAAGAAAGCAAAATTGAAGACAAAACAGTTGCAATATTTTGCTAATGATGCTCCTAAAAATGTAAGAATCTGAGCAATAACTGTGTGAAGGCTTTATTGCACTTACTGGATGGGATGTGCTTAGTGATCCAGAGCAGTTCCACTAAAGTCAATGGAATTTTAGTACCAGAAAACTTTTTTTTCCCAATCCATAGCACAGTATCTTTTTGCCACAGAAAGAAAGAATGAAAATGAGGTTCTCTGTTCATATTAAATAGAAAGAACTTGATGGATCCATAGGGAAAAGAATAGAGAGACAAATCATACTAAACTGCATACATGAAAATGTGAGAATGAATCGGTGTATTTGCTCCGGTTGTATTCTAACACATTGCCTGAGACATGCATTGGCTGTGGGACGTTTTGCTGACTGGTTCACAACCTCATGCCTCTCCTGGATTCAGGATATTTTGCTGTGTTCAATTAGACGCTGTCCTCCTTTTCCAGTCCGACCACATTTGTTATTAAATATGGCACTCCTAGTGCTATTTGAAATACGGAACTTGACAGATGAAAGGGATCTGTTGCAGTTTAGCTGGTTAAATATTTAATGATTTCAACCTCACAGACTTACATGGTCCATTTTCCTGGATACAAGTTGGATAGCAGGAGGAAGGCTGCTCCAGTTTAGGGGTGTCAGTAATGGCTTTTGGAACTGCTGCTGTTTGCCGTCACATTAGGGGTTGTTTTGTTGAAATACTCCCCGTGGTTTATTAATGAAACTTGGTAACTTTTATTCTTCGCAGAAAAATGATAACAGACAGATGTATAAACCCACATTCATGTGTTGTTTTATTGGTGTGTTACGACGTTACATTTCCTTCACACTGAGAAAGCATGAGATTAAAATACACTGATCCACAAAAATGCCTTCCATACGCTGACTCTGCACTGGTAATTACAGTGCCCACAGATCCCTCCACAAGTTTCATTTCATTAAGTCTTTCGTAATTCTAATTACATTCTAATCAAAGCTTTTACATTGTCTATTTGATGACTTTCAATTTAATTATTCCCATTAAAATAGGTTATTCTTTACTGCTTGGCAAAGTTCACCAATTACTCTTGCAATGTAAGTATTTACGCTGCGTTACACTTCATATTCCAATCTTTAAACAGCCACTACTCATTTGAGGGCTGTATAAGATTTCCTCATGCCAAAGATAGCTCGTTTGTATCAAAAGCCATTAAAATACTAGGAATGTGTACAGCACATTTAGGAGGCCCCACTCATTTTTAAGAATAAGCCAGATCTATATAAAAACATGCAAAATGCTCTATGCATCAGTATTAAACTTCTAATTTTCATTTAAGTCTTATTTTCTTTTAACATTTGCATATAACCTGGAAGACTAGGGTTCCTGCTGAAAGAAAAAGCTAATGGCTAAGCCCTGTATAATGTAAAGACATGATACCCTTACTGTAGGGCTTTCGTTAATCCTCCCCTATGAAAGATACAAAATGATATCCCTGTTACAGAATTCTGTAGGATGGTTTAAAAACTTTATAGAAAGATTAAACCTCCACTAAATTGTGTGGATTTCTAGAATAAGACCTTGATTACACTAGAGGAGTGCTTTGTCAAATCCAGTGCAAATGCAATGCTGGAACAATTTTGCTTTGCTGATGCTAGTTTTGTGAACCAGCATATATACATCAGCAACCCCAGTTACATTTGGGAACTGTCTCTATTCTAGAGCTCAGAATACTGTAACTGTCAGAAAAAAAACCCTGTCTCTAACTGATGCGCTCAAACTGGTATCAGTTTTACAAGTAAATCAGGCTTAATTTCTGCAGAACCCTCCTGGGTTCATGCCTTTTACATTCTGCTCCTTAATGTCATTTCCTATTTATAGTTATTTCCAAATATCATGTAAGTTTATACATAGTCAAGTTGCATCCTCTTGTACACAATTACTACATTTATTTTAAAGGGCTTCTAATTTACTTGCTTTTCTATAAAAGTTCAAGTGTTGCCAATGAGGAAGTAGCTCTTCTCAGAAAATTCTACGAAGCTTACCTTTGAGAAAAGTAAGTGACAAGCTTTACATGAAGACATTGAGCCGTTTGAATCACAAAATGCCTACGAGGCCAATAATACATATTCCAACAGTAACACAGAAACTATAATTATGGCAGCAGTATCCTCCAGTCTAAAGCACCGTAATAATGGTCGTTGATCAGCGCTATCTTGATTGCTTTAACCAGCAGCTCCAGATAAGAAATGTTCAACTGCCAAGATGTGGTCTGGAACATTTGCCTGCATTTTCACAGGATACCTAAGGGAAAAAAAAAAATCTGGAATCTGACATTCTGCCACCCAAAGGTACATCATTTCACAGGAATGGGATGCATACTGCACAGTGCAGACATAATAAAACAGGGACCTACCCATAATAAGTTAACTAAAATCATACACTTTGTAATCTTCTCCATACCAACAGTGTTCTGATTCTGGTGAATTTCAATCCAGGTACCAAGCCAACCCTCGCAAACACCATGCTCAAGAACATGATGAGCTGAAAATGTGGAATGGGTCTAGTGGTAAACTGTCTCAAGCATTCCTATGGATATGTTACAGTGCTGGAGACCACCACAAGCATTCGTGGTTGTGTGCCCAAAGTCACAAATGAGAATCTTTGCATTTCTTTAGGCAGCCAGTGCTGCAGTGGGTCACTGCACAAGAATGAACGTGGCACACCGAGATTCACAGAAAACATTGTGATTATTTATCTTCACAGTTTTAGGCTTTTTGAAAACTTATTTCAAAGACTTCAGCTTGTTGAATGTCATGAGTGTTATTTCATTTTGTTTTGGCAGTAATCACCGTGATTGCCCTCAAAAAAATGCAGATTTTATTTAAACACCAAGTTTCTAATCCTTCCTATGAACATATGTTTCTGTAAGCTATATAATAATTTTAACAGGGTGGAATTTCCTGACTGTTATAATCATCCTGTGGAACCACTAATGCATGAAGCTTGGCTCTTACAAACACTTACCCATTCACACCTTTTGGCTGCTTGATCATTAGTAGCTCTAGTAGTAACTAGAATTAATTGTCAAAACTTGACAATTAATACAAAGTTCTACCAGCATGTGGAGATTTTTTTAATGTTAGAAGGCAACAAGCTAAACATAAAGATGATGCCCTAACTTACTAAGTTATATAGAGAAATGTCTAGACACAACAGATGCTGAGCATCTGGTGAAAAGTGCTTTGTGTATTCATCACCCATCAAAATCAATGAGTGCTGAAAATGACCAGAACTTGCTAGGAGATACTCAGTACTTTAGAAAATCTGTTTCCAGATCTACCCTGCCTTCAAACACATCTTAAAATTACTTTCTTAGCCATTTCTCCACATAAGATTGTTTTTATTCCTGTTCTTTCCCCTTCCCTCAAGTAGCTTATCTGTTCGCAGGAGACTGAAAACAGATAATTCAGCAAGTCAATATGAACTGAAAATTTAACTGTAGAAGTATGATGCTATTATGCCATTAAAACCAAAATATTTATTTTCTCTTTATAAAAAGGAAAGAAACAAAAGAAAAACAACGTACAGTAAGAGACACTGTGTTAAGAGACCAGTTTGGAGGAAATGTGAGAAGGCTAAAAGTTCATTCTGCACATTTCTTAAAGTCATACAGGACCTTCAGTTATTCCCTCTAGAGGCAGGCCAGTAGCATTATCTGCTGTAGGTCTCTCTTCCTTCTTCACAGAGTTCTGATCTAGCAGGCTGACATAAGATTTATGACACGCTGTATTACCCAAAGGAGGGTAGTGTTGTCTGTAGCAAATATAAGCAAAAATGAGGCCAATGATCCCTCCAACAAAAGCATCTAGAGAAGAAAAGCAACAAAACCAGAAGCATGTTACTGTGGAAAGGTCAGGCAGCGGTAACTGTAAATAAAAGACATTTGGTTGACCTGGAAGTGTTTAACCCAGAAACTGTGAACTTTAAATTTTCATAAAGAATTTGGAGCCCAATATCACAATCACATAGGACACAAAATCAGTATTTTGCTGGGGACATCTCCAAGAGCTTGAATATCCAAAATCTAGATAATTGGCTGTGTTTCTGGAGATGAACAAGGGGAATAGCAGCCTCCATGGGGCCTCCATGATGTTGCAGATCTCCTCTGACCAACACTTGTGAATAAGCAACCCATGTATCCTCTTCTAGCATGCCATGATTTACAATGACCACCAGCAGGTTTTCTATTTATGAACAATACAGCAGAGCTATGCTGTTTACAGCATCCAGAGCTCTCCCACTGAGCTATACCACAAACTATTGCACTGTGTGCAGTCTGCTCCTTGTCTCTGTCCAAGTACCCCACAGAATGACAGCTACAAGAGATCTACTCTTGTTTTGTATTCCAGAAGGCATTCTCCAATACAGACAAGGAGCAAGTAGAATGTAAGATGGAAAATTATCTTCCTTCAGAAGTGGGCCACTCTAGCTAGAACAATTAATTTCACTTGTAACTCCTGAGAAAGACAGCTGTCAAGGACCATTTCAAGCTGGGTGAATTCTTCCTAAAAGAACCTGAGAGGTCAAAGACTAAGCATGCCTGATAACTGATTTGACACCTTTTGAATTTTTTTGATGCTCTTTGCTATCCCATACTCCTACCAAAAAATAAAATAGGATAAAATAAGGCCAGTGTGTGACATATTTGCAGCTTTTGCACATGGGCAATTATAATTTTTCCATCAGAACCACACAGCACTGGAAATGTAAGAGGATTTGTTCAGTTGTCAGATCCTCCTGCTGTCTTACTAATTTACTTCCCAGATCTTATGTTTCATTTTCAAGCAACCAGAGCAAAATATCACTGAAAATACACACCGACTTTGAAATCCTCAGATTTGAACACAAACAATAATAGAAGTGAGGTAAAAGGTACTGGCTAGAATACAGCTTGACACAATCTTTTATTTTAATAAGATGTACCAAACACCATATTATCTGCCTATATAAAAGCTTAGGATTAAGCATCCTTCAGACTCCTGATGCTTCACTTAAGCATATCCCTTGTGATTGATTATAGGTAGACTTTTAAGGATGCAGTTTCATCTACAAGCAGACCTTTTATACAATTCACTCGTATATCAGATGCTGCTGTTGAAGACTTAAGAGCCATCTTCCATTCAGTCAATAACTGTCACTCCTTCACAAAGGTAAGCTTTAACACTGTGTGACATGTTTCTTTAGCTTTGTGAATATACTTTATGATCATGAAAGACGCTGCATGCTGCTTCAATAACCTCCTCATCCATACTGAATACATTCAACATTTATTTGCAGTTACAGTCTGTTGAATATTCACTGGTACCATGTGCTTGGTACCACGCTGAATCCAATGCGAACAAATAGTCAATATAAGAAAGTATCGACATAAAAATAGACACAGCGCAAAGCTATGGAAAATCATTTTTAACAAGACATAAGAAAATAAAATATTTCGCTTCCTTAAGTAGGACCTGACTTTGGAAAGTGTAAAAGTGACACCTTGGGAACAATTAGAACCTTGGCCAAAAAAGTTAAGAGAACAGAACGCATCAAACTTTGCAGCAAGTTTTTCAGTGTGGGCAGAATCTGTTGCAATCTATGCTATAGAGCTCGGTTTGCAATGTTTCTATATTTCTCATGGAGGGAACATGAACCCACCTCATGCCAAATACACTTTGATATGAATGAAAAGCAGTGTATTACATCAGGTGCACCCAATAACCAGAATACAAATGACTGAATGCATCTTTGCAATGACTAGTTACACACAGATGCATCAGTCTAGTCTAATGCATATGTGTCAATGTATTAGCAGTCCCTCACATACCCAACAGGCACCTTGCAGATACATGGAGAAGCAGTAGGCATGGACTAGGCAGAGCTTCTAATGGGCCAGATGCAGCCTACAGCTGGATCCATCCAGGAGAGCTGTGGCACATGTGTACACTTATAAAAAGGATGATATAACAAAACACTGATCTAGATTTGTATGTAACTACGATGATGTACATTGTGTATGTAAAGATACAGAATAGTAAAGAACCCCTGCAGTAAAATTTCAGACACTGAAACCCTAGCATCAATCCAGGAGCAAGGAAAACCTATAGCATACTACAGTGAGTTTTAACTCATGTGATTTACTTAAAATAATTAAAGAAATATAAGGCTAATAAAAGACAGCACAAAAAAGGTGTTTTCATGTCTCACCTTGCCAGTGATGCTTGTAATCACACATACGTGACAGGGCAATCATCATGGCACAGTAGAGTGGGAGAATCGCTGCACAAAGCCGCCAGCTCTTCCCCCGGCCATTTTCCGTGAAGCAATGTAACTTTCCAGCTAAGTAGAAGGTGGTAAAGCCAAGGCCTGAAAACGCAACTGATAAAGAAAAACACAGACTTACAGTAATTCTGTCACTATCATTGTAACAATACTGTCCCTTCCGATCCTTTAAGAACTGACAGCAGGATCCTTCTCCTGGACAGAAACCTTGGACTTTCTAGGGTGCTACTAGGAGCTAAGTTACGTTGAGATGACCCATCTGCCCATCCCTAGATGTGTCCAAGGCCAGGTTGGATGGGACTTTGAGCAACCTCGACTAGGGGAAGGTGTCCCTGCCCGTGGCAGGGGTTTGGAACTGGATGAGCTTTAAGCTCCCTTCCAACACAAACCAGTCTGGGATTCTACGATCTTCAAATAACTGAGGGGGTTTCATAGTTTGAATGGTGATTCCTATGCAACCATATAAGTGATGCTGTTATAACTCATTATTTTAAAAGGATGTAGCAAATTGCCTAGGTAGAGAGTTTTCTTGCTTTGTCTTTTTTCATAAAGCAACAATGATCTTACAAATTTTACATAATCACAATTCTTAGGGGGATGAATGGGAAAAGGTATTCTGCCACAAGATCCATGACATATGTCTGTTCTCCATAGTAATAGTGTTATCTATGTAACAATGCAAGTAATCAGGCAAGCGAAAACTGAAAAGCAAATCAACTTCCTTCTCTTAGATACTCAGCTTTCACATAATCTGACCAGTCTGCAAATACTGTGGTACCTCTGGACATTCATCCATCCAATAGCAATTTAGATTTTTCTTTCCATTAGCAATTTAGCTTTTTCCTCTGGGGCAGACATTGCCTGTGGAAAGAATTTATTTGCACATGAAATTAAACATTTAGGCAATTTTTAAAACTGGAATCGCAAGAGCTCTTTCATGCTTAACTTTCAGGACATCTTTCCCGATTTTAGACTTATTCTAAACAGTTACAGTTCAAAGCAGAAAAGGATTCAGTCAGATTTTACTGCAATGGAATTACATTTAAACGAGAAACTTAGGTTCCATTAACCTTGTTCTATAGAAATACAAAACTGGCAGTGGTGATAGAGCTCGGGCACTAAATTTCTGTAATGAACGTTTTTTCGTCTTGTTACTTTTCACCTCCCAGAGGAATACCAGATGGATTTATATTTTTAATACACGTTCTAAATGTTTTTTACAAAAGCTTTTGAACATTTCTCTCTTTTTTACTGCAGGAAAAGTAGCGTTGCACTTGAACAGGTAGCTCTGTGAAATACGTTTTCTATTTTCTCCACAAATGTCATACTCAACTTTGCTCCTGACTGCAGAGATCAAAATAGAACATGAGCACATAAAGCACAGATAGTGAAATTATAAATATTTATCCAAGCATTTGAAATTCTTTCCCTGGCTGCCTTTACATTTTTTATCTTTGTGATATACAAGTGCCTCCATAAGAACTAACGGATCACATTTATAATACATATGCCTGTTCTGATTGTGCGTCCAGTGAATTTAATCATAAAATCACTATCTCATAGAACCACAGAACAGTTAGGCATGCATCTTCTGTCCTAATCTCTTGCCAGGGCTTTTCAAATGCCCTCCTCTTCATGTTCCCAAATGCTAGGTGGGATAAAGTCATTGCTTTGTGTTCTGCTGATGAATCTATGGGATGGTCAATTTTAGCTGACAGCACAATGGAGTAGTTTCATAAGATTATAGTGAATAACTGTTTGAATGCAATTACTGAAAATTTGGTTTCAAACACACAGATAAATCACTTCTTTAGACAAGCAGAGCAAGACAGAATGCTGATTTATCATCAAGCCACTATACAAACTACATTATTTTCTACATGCTTTTTCAACTGCTGATTCTGTACTTGTCAGAAGACAGTGGGAGGCAAACTTTAATATATAATAAACAATCCTGAATAAAGAAAAGTTTCTTGCAGACTGTCTTACCTTCTTATGTATTGTATAAACTCATATGTCATATGAACTTGCTTTAAGACTACCTATCAGGTAAGAAATAATTTCTTCTGACATTTCTGCATCATTGTATTTCTGAGATAAATTTCTTTTCCTAAGAGTAACATGTCTTACACAGAAACAGGTTGTGAGCCGTATAGTCAGAGCACCAGACTATAGCCACAGTGATGAAAATACATCTATGATCCTGACAACATCTCATAAAATGGGAATACACGCTCCCCTTTTTCAAGCATCCTCTCCAACTCTCAGTACTCAATGTAGACAGACACACAAAAAAACCAAGTAAACATTGCTGCTTCTTTACAGTGCAGACATGCTCTTGTGCCTGTCACATTCCCTAGAATAGCCACTGGAATATGACAAAATACAACACTCGCCTCTCTTGTGCTCTTCCAGTTGCACTGGAACTGTGGCATAGTCTTTTGCATCAAAAGACTATAAGAAAGTCTTATGTATCAAAAGACTATATCATAGAATCATAGAATAGTTAGGGTTGGAAAGGACCTTAAGATCATCCAGTTCCAACACCCCTGCCATGGACAGGAACACCTCACACTATACCATCTCACCCAAGGCTTTGTCCATATGTGGCATAGTCTTTTGTATCAAAGACCTGTAAGTGTTTATAGGCTAATGACACACATCCACATCTGTGAGCAGACATAGGGCTGTCCATTCTGCAGACCTTTGGAACTAGATTCATGTCTAAACTTACCCGAGACTGCAAGAACAGGACTCGTCTGCACCATTCCATCTTCCAGTTGAGTAAATGCAGTGAACAAAACTCAATCTATGTTGGATATTCAATATCAAGTGGAATCCTGGATTGAATACTTTCAAATACTTCCTCTCAAAAATACTTCTTTCTTTTTTTTACTTTCATATTTCCATTTTCCTTCCCAGGTTATTTATTTTTTGTAGATTTGTAGAAGATGAACTGAAATCTGAAGACAGTATTCCCATAGAAACAGCAAGTGCTTTGTGGTTTCATTCTTAGGCAATCTACAATGCCTAGCAATTTAGAGGGCTTAAAGAAATACTGCCCAAACAATAGAGTAGGTGTTCAGTCCGCACATACTCATATTCAGAATTAGTAGCATTTGCCAGGCAATTTTACCAGCAGTTGTCAGTGTGGTGGGCAGTAAAATTTAGATAAATGGGCTTTAGAGCAAACCCTGTGATATTTAAGAAAAATTGCCAGAATTTGTGTTTTTGCAGGATCTGCCACAATTCAGAAGGTGGTGCTCACGAATGAATATGGAAGTTCAGCAGGAGCTCTATCTGCACTAGACCCAAAGGCAGATGTTGCTTTCTTCTAAACTAAAGGTCAGGAAGAAAAGAGACTCACAAACACTCCTCCAGGGGAACTTATCCTAATGCAAGATGGAAAAGTACTATAATGATGCTCTAGCTTGTGGCTATGAAACTAATATTCTGCAGAGCAGCTTTATTTTGCAGTGTCGTAAAATTGACTTCCCTTACCCTGGAGCGCGCACATCCAGAAAGCGCTGCTTGACCCGATAGTCCCAATGTGCGCAGAGTCAGCAGCAAAGAACACGGAATTAATAGTGAAACACTCTGGGATGTGGGAGTACTCATCATAAAGGTAATTATATATTTCAAGACAACTTGATTGCTGTGCACTCCATGAAAGCAACTTTGGTTTATGCCTGTATTTTGAAGATGTTGTCAATCAATAAAATTAATAACTATTCACTCTACAAGAATCCTGGGCATATAGGTGATATTTGCACTGAAGAATTGCTCAATCTGTAGAATATAGTTGAGTGGTATTTTTCTGCACCAGATAGAGACAATAGTTCACTGTATCACAAAGCAAATACAAACACACACACACACACGTCACATGCCCTAACATATTGTGTACAACCTAATAAGAAAAATTATCATTCTGCATAAGAAGACAATGCTCCTCATCTCACAAACACTTCTGCAAAGTTGGTTTCTCCTTAGATCATGAAAAGTTAATACTCTGTTTATATAAAAAGGCAAGATCAGTGTGCAATACCAACCAGCCCTCTTTGGAGACATTGACACGAACGAAAATAAGAAAACCAGTCTGATTAGTATAAAACAGTGTTAATTTAAGTTAGATGTTGATGCAAATTTCAGACACTGGGAATAAGTGCAATGAGCTAACTTAAAGGGGATAAACGAAATGAGAGGAAAACACATTAAGCAATATATGATTTGTCCCCTTATTGTTTGTTTCTATTTCCTGATCTTCTGATAGCACCAGATATTTGGTTTAAAGCCAGGGAGGCAATTTAAACACCAATAAAAATCCTGGGTTTGCAAATCTGTACCTTTCTGAACAGACTCTGAAGGGAGCTGAGATTCAGAGTGCATCTTACTTGTGTTTTCAGTTTCTTTAAAGGAATAACTGGAATTCATATGTATTGTACTTTTGCTCTACTTACATGGCTTTATTTCAAATTTTTATCTACAAGGAATCTTTAATAATGCATATGCAGTCTCCAGATTATATTAATGGTACCTAGAGAGTCTCAGTCATGAATAAACATTAGTTTATGTAGAATTAAATCAATTTAATTTCCTTTTTATACCTGTTGTAACTATTTACACTTCTTCATAACATAGATACACTGGTTGTGTAGACCTGCCAATCAAAGGTGTCTGTCTGATTTTGTTTGCAACACGGCTACAAACCATTCAGAGACTGTACTGTAAGATCCGTCATATGATTCAAGCTAGCGAGGTGGTACAGGGCAAGCACGTTGTCTTTCTCTGCTCATCAAATTGAATTCCCTATTCCCACTCTCAGAATGAGATTTCTGAATACCAGTTACACACGGGATCCATCAACTTGAAGTCAGCACTACAAGTCAGTCCACGCAGTGTACTGGGGTTTCTCTCTGCAGGTAACACTGCCTATTTTGGTTGCTGGATAAGGACTGTTCAAAAGTTCACAGAGTTGGCAGTCAGAAGGGATGAGCTGATCTTTTTGTTGACCTCCTATATATCACACTGCTGAGTACGATCTAGCACCAGAATGGGAGCTTGGATAAAGTGCGCAATTTCCAGAGAAATAATCT